CAGCTGCATGCATTTACATTACTCCAGACTATTGGGCAGACGTACCTGATATCCAAGGAGCATGTTGCTTCCTCTTGCATCCTGTGAAGGTGGAGGCTGTCCATAAGGTCCCTTGGAAGGGAAGGAAGTGCTCCTGAACTTGTTTGGTGTGAAGACCACTGCTCCACCAGCTTGGCTAAATGAGTTGTACTTCTGGGCCATGCTAGAGCTGTTTCCAGACATACTAGCTGGAAAATGAGTCATGGGGACCTGGTGATGATTAGAGACCTTTGGAACCCTGTTCCAGTTAGGCATGGCAGTCAGGTTCTGCTGTGGTTGAGCTCCAGCACCCCAGCTGTTGTGCTGAGATCCACTCACTGCTGACCAGGCTGGGTAGCTCTTGCTATCCACATAATGCTTCTGGGTTTGGCTTGGAGTCATGTTGTGTGCAGCTGTTACATGTCTTCTCTGGCCAAGGCTTGGTGATGCAATGTTATACTGGGAAGCACAGCCACCCCCAATCAATGCATTTTGATTGGAGGCATGCATCTGTGTGTGTGATGGAAAGTGACTTGGGTACTGTGCACCATTTGCTGCCTGCATTCTGCCCATGATGCTTTGATCTGCAGATGTTGTAGACCATAGGTTTGGTGGAGAACCACCTGAACTACCATTCATGGCCGAGGAACTCTCAGTGAATGACTGGCTTGCATGGATGGACGTGCTTAAGCTAAGACTACTTGAAAGACCACTAGCACCACTCTCATATGCCACCCCTGACTGACTAGTCAAGCACTTGTCAGACAGCTCATCTTCACTTCGTCCATTGCTCACCAAGACATTGCTCAGCCCAAGCACATTTTTGCCATCTTCACAAAATCTTTGGTTTTCTTCATAATGTACATCTTGATCTGAAGCCAAAGACTGGTTGGGTGATTTGCTTGGTGACTTTTGTATCCTCAAATCACTCTGCATTTTCAGCCCACACTTCTCAGCATTGGTCAGTTCAAGCTTGAGTTCTGATTGGGATGCATTTCCGAAATAACGGCTGCAAGAAGTCGCAGGGGGTATATCTGAACAAATGGTACTCATGCTATGCCAATGCCCAGGTTCAATTGCGATACAATCTTAGCGGATCATAGCCACAAAACAACGACTTCCTAAAACCACGGTCACCAAACACACCAAAACACCGTAACCCTCCGTAAACAAACACTGTCCCCCTGCTCGCCCCCTTCTTCCCAATGCCCAAAATCTTCTGCGCTAATGCAAACCCAGAAGTTTGTATATTGGAAAAGTTCACTAAAACACCGTAAGGTGTCGCTAGTGAAAAACAGGTGATATCTAGTAGTTTTGTCTAGTATAAATTAAAACATACCAAATCATTTTTGAAATAATCTTTATTTTGATTAATTGTACAACAACGTAAATCTTATTCATTTTATTTTCTTCATTCTTTCGTTATTTCGAAACTGTTTATCAGAAATTTGGGTTTGGTAGGATTAAAAAATGAACAGTCTCGGAATATAACCTTCAAGCTTAATTTGGTAGCTACTCTACTAGATATGGCACATAGACAAACACAAAGTACCTGATCCAATATATGGCGCACCTAATCCGAGGGGTGTTCACGGGCACCGCACACTGCTGCGTGCGGTGTGTGCGTTGCGTCCAGCAGGCGTGGGGGTAGGGGATGGGTAGGCGGTTCTGACGTCACGGCTGCGTGCGGTGGACGGTCCGCTGTGGCCAGTCCCGACCGCGAGTTTCCTAAGTGTGGAACTGCCCATACCTAAGGTCTATGATTGGCGCAAGCTTCGCCGAGATGACGTTACAGGCTGTGACGTCATGGCTCACAGTCGGCTGACCAATCGCTGCACGATTTTAGGCTAGCGGCACGCGGCACTAGCGCCCCTGGTGTTATTATGGGAAGTTGAACAATTACATTAAAATCTAATGCATAGCTTGTGTTGGGAACAATTATGTATTACTAAGACGTCAATGTCTCACAAATTAATTCGTTCATGCTCCTCACATTTTGCAAAGTGACCTTATATTATGCGTCATAAGGTACTACACTACGCTTCAAACAATCAACACAAAGCACCAGCCAGGCACTGTTACAAGTAGCGAGCAGTTAAGTGACGGCAGGTGGCGCTACCATCTCCAGCATCGGTCCAGATGGCGTCACTCACTATCCGCACTATAGTTCCGCACTACCCAGGGGCGTAGGCAGGGGGGGGGCCACTGGGCCATGGCCCCCCCCCTTGGGCGCCGAAGGCGCCCTTTGCGATTGGAGGGCGCCGAAGGCGCCCTCCAATCGCAAATGCAATTGTGATATAATCGAATCGAAAAACAATCGCGACTGGAGGGCGCCCTCCAATCGCGAATGTGTTTACAGGGAAAATACGGATGGAGGGCGCCCTCGGAGGACGCCCATTCCAAATACGCCCTCCAAATACGGTTGGAGGGCTCCCTCGGGCGCCCTCCAACCACATTTGTAGGCTGTAGCTCTCTAAGCGAAACGGTGGTCGCCAATGTAAGCCGCTGTCCTGTAAATAAGCGCCCTCTCACCCGAAGGCGCCCTCCTGTAGGTCGCCACCCTGCTACACATTGCCGCCCTTCTGCTGATCGGCGTCCTCATAATTATTGGCGCTCTCCTACCTATTGAGCCCTCATGTGAAATTTTGAAGGCCGCCTTTCTCCCTTTTGGCACCCTCTTGTTCAGTGCCGCCCTCCTACCCATTGGTTCCCTAGTCCTTCCTGTTGAATGTTAATCGGGACCCTTCTCCTATTGGCGCCCTCGTGTAGATCGCCGCCCTCCTAACCACTGGCACCCTCCTGTTGATCACCGCCCTCCTATCCACTGGCACCTTCCTGTTGACCAGCGCCCTCCGCACAGACGCCCTCCTGTTCGTGTCATCCTCTTGAGCAAAGGCGCCCTCCTCACCATTGCCACCCCCATTTTAATCGTCACCCTTCCGCTCATTGGCGACTTCCAGTTGATGACCGCCCTCCCACCTATTGGCGACCTCTTGTTGATCGCCACCCTCCTATTGGTGCTCTCCTGTTCCTCGCCACCCTCTTACCTGGTGGCGCCCTCCTGTTGATTGTTGATCGGCGCCCTCCTACCTATTGGTGCCCTCCTGTTGATCGCTGCCCTTCTATCCATTGGCGCCCTCCTGCTGCTCGCCAACTTCCTACCTATCGGTGCCCTACTGTCGAAACTCGGGATGTTGATCGGGGCTCTTCTACCTATTAGTGCCCTCCTGTGGATCGCAGCCCTTCTACCTATTGGCAACATCCGTTGATCGCTGCCCTCCTATCATTTATTTACTCCGTTGGCATGTTTTTCAACTTAGTCGTTCTATTGCACATAGTTGATGTCTTGCCTGTGAAAACTGCCACAAATGAACGTGCATTCAGCACAATGAATGAAGTATCTATACCTACCAAAACTATCTACGCTCTACGATGCATAAAACACGTCTTTGGTCTTAACGGATTGATCCTACTTTACGTGCATCATGGCATCTATATGGATTACGATTAAGTATTGTCAACAGGTTCGGGCGCAACAGCAGGCATCTGAAGTTTCGGTGATTGAAACTGGTTATGTGGGTACACTGTATGCATCTGTGAGAAGGCTATGAAGGCTGGTCTGAGGTAATTTGGATGATGTTTACGCATCTCGCGCTCCGGTATCAATCCGATACGGTGATCTGGTGCGTAGATATGCCACCGCCAATAAACTTTTATACATCGACACCCATGAGCCAAGCTTTCTGTACAGTTTGTGTGGCAGCGGCCCGACCAAACCTTAGGTATTTTTACACCTTCAAATTTGGTAAAAGAGCGAGAGGAGCTTTGAACAGTGATCGTATAAAAGGCGTGCCTAAAAAGCGGAGGAAAAGGTTGTTTTCAAAAATTTCGCGCGCCTTCGGCGCAGCATTTCAAGAACACTTGACCTTTTGTGACCTGGAGTATAATGAATACACACGATGCAAAATCAATGCAGCACGACCTATACGAGGTTACGCAAAAAAAAAACTGGTGGCATGGTAAAAAACGCCTCCCAACCCCCCAACCCCCACTGAGCGATTTTTTATCTCGCGACCGTATGGCGCCCTCCTTGGGTGAGGTGGCGCCCTCCAAACCCTTGGCCCCCCCCTTCGCGATTTTCTAAATACGCCGCTGGCACTACCTGCTAATAAAATAAATAATGAATCCGCTAATCAATCTGCTAATAATCTCGCTAATAAATCTGCTAATATTAAATTCGCACTACCTGCTAATTTATGTCCTATTGGTGTCAAACATCATTCAACGCCGATAGGCAGTATCACCAGCCGTAATACTGAAGACATTTGCTCAATGCTGAAGCGAAACGCAGTGCACAAACCACACCGTCAAAACTCAAGCACCTCGTAGGAGATATGCTTCCAAGGTGGGCGAATGCACGAACGATAACTGAAAAAACACCGGTTATACTCGTATATTCACGTAGAACAAGTTACTTTTTCTCTAGCTAGGGAACTCGCTAAAATTAAGACTGACTAAATATTTACGCAGGATAACTGGCTCCGCCTCTTCGCCAACTTAAGGACCCGCCAATCCATGCACCTAGCCGCCAGCGCCGAGTGATGACGTCACTCGAACGGGCGACGGTATGAATAGTTCCACACTTCGGAAACTCGCGTCCCGACCGGCCACAGCGATCGCTGTGTGCGGTGACGGAAGGATGACGTAGGGACGAAGTGGGCGGAGCTTCGAGGCTGTGTGCGGTCCGACCGCACACAGGGCCCGTGAACAGCATATCTTTATATACCTCCGCCTATAATAATATTCGTATTGAATATATTGAAGAATCTTTTTGAATATTGTGTTTTGATTTGCGCTGAGCGTTCTTGATCCGTCTCCTGCATTTAGCGGTAAATTGGGGATTGGGTATTTGACCGTAAATTGATTTTTAGTTAGATTGTGTACATAAATTGAGCAGCTCCGTATCTTCTGTTTCAGGCAATAAACAGAAACTCAAACAGTCAGCACTCAGCACTAGTAGCAGCGCACGGTCAAGGTGCCTACTTTTCTGCAGGTTGTTTGAACTCATTAGACTAATGTACTCCACATTGTTTCATGTTTGCCAGTATGCTCACTGACTGCCCGTTCCAGTTCCTCTAATGTGAAGGCCAATGGAGTCACACTCAGCACCACTGATTGGCTGTCCATTTCCCTGCAGGTGGAGGCCGATGGAGTCACACTCAGCACCACTGATTGGCTGTCCGTTCCCCTCAGGTGGAGTCCGATGGAGTCACACTCAGCACCACTGATTGGCTGTCCGTTCCCCTCAGGTGGAGTCCGATGGAGTCACACTCGGCGCCACTGATTGGCTGTCCATTCCATTTCCCTGCAGGTGGAGGCCGATGGAGTCACAGTTTGCCCTACTGATTGGCTGCCCGTTCCCCTCGGGTGGAGGCAGATGGAGTCACACTCAGCGCCACTGATTGACTGCCCGTTCCCCTCAGGTGGAGGCCGATGGAGTTACAGTTTGCCCTACTGATTGGCTGCCCGTTCCCCTCAGGTGGAGTCCGATGGAGTTACAGTTTGCCCTACTGATTGGCTGCCCGTTCCCCTCAGGTGGAGGCCGATGGAGTCACACTCAGCGCCACTGATTGGCTGTCCATTTCCCTGCAGGTGGAGACCGATGGAGTCACAGTTTGCCCTACTGATTGGCTGCCGGTTCTCGGGTGGAGGCCGATGGAGTCACAGTTTGTCCTACTGATTGGCTGCCCGTTCCCATCAGGTGGAGGCCGATGGAGTCACACTCGGCGCCACTGATTGGCTCACGGGCCAGCTATTCGGACCTCGAGCATCCGCTGTTCGGCAACAGCGAGTCGCGGCCACGGGTGAGACCCGCCACCAACCCTCGTTAGCTGATCGACCGGTGCAGCGATTGGTACTTGGTTTGCCCACCCACAGACGGGCGGGGTCCTCCCTGCATCCGTGTGCAGTTACACCTGTAATCTGAGGGAAATGTCACGTCCTTTTGCTCGCCTCTTATATGTACATCATTCTAGTCATCCGCTTTGTGTGATTGGACACCAGATTTCATCTTTATGTTTTATGTTTTATGGTCAAATATCTATTCTTTTTTACTGCATATTCGTTGATTGGACAATGGACAACCAGAAAGGGCCCGCGCTTTTTGACGAGATGATCCTTACCTGTAAGTCAATATACCCTGATCCTTACTGTGCGTTTTGTCTCGTTTGAACAGGAGCGGGCGATCAACCTGGTTGTGGGATTTCTGACCGCTCTCATCGTTTTCATTACCCTCATCAGCGCCTTCGTCTTCCACGAGTATTCGCCGAGAGGAGTCAATATATTTCTAGGCGTCATTATCGTCCTCATCTGCGCATCGCATCTCACCGTGGTGAGTTATTGTTTGTTTGTTTTGTTGGGTTAGGCCCTTTCGGTCGACAAGACCATTGCAGAGCCGGAAGGATGATAGGAATTAGGGGGAGACATTGGTCTGGGCAGGCACCCTAGTGAGTCGCCGGGGCTGAGCCCGTCCGAAGACAGGCCACCCAGCCCCAAGGCACTCACTGCACCCGGCTACGGGGTGCGCTCCCTCGGGAGCAGCGGTGCCGCTCCAAGGGAGCAGCCCGCATGAGATAAAGTTGCCTGTCCAGCCCGGAAGGGGGTGGCGGTGTGGAGGAGAAGGATTTCAGTATCCTGAGACCTGAGGATAGAAGCATGGAACGGTGTGTGGTGAGTTAAAATCAGCATGCCAATTAGGGGTGTCAATGTTAGTCAGTGGTGTTCCAGGTGAAGTTTTTCTTGAATTCTATGACAGTCATTTCAGTGCTCCAGCATTATCCAGCATTTTGCTGGGGTAACTTATTTAATGGCAACATGAAAAAATACCTGCAAATTTCGGCGCGAGATATTTCGCGGTTGATTTGTGTGCTTTTCAGCATTTTTGCCGTTGAATGCCGCATTTCATGCTACCGAAGCCCTCGCTCGGTGTTGTCTGTAGTAAAGCCTCGCTCTGCGGCCGATAGATGTCACCAGCTGTACCTTCCCGTTCCGTTTCCAGATATGGTGGTACCGGCAGGGCGACCTGGACCCCAAGTTTCGCGTGCTCATCTTTTTCAACGCGTTCTGCATCGTGCTGCTATGCGTATGCGCCAACCTGTACTTCCACCTGCCGGACCCGAACAAAACCTAGAGACGGCCGCGGCACCGGGCCGCCGTGCGTCAGCTCTGCGCCCATAGTGAGAACTCCCGTGTATCCGCTCCGTGCAACAGCCCAGTGTGTGTGTGGGTGTCTGTTTGACAGTGTGTATGCATGTGTGTAAAGCGATGGTGTACCACTCTGAGAGCGGAAGGCAGCCGCTCGTCGGCGGGATGTGTGGTGAGCTGACTCGGGTGGGCGCGATTATCCGCGATTGGAGGCTATTCTCGGGCTGGGTTAGGTATATTTGTTACCCGGCCAAACGTTTGACAAGGTTAGTGGCCGATATCTTTCAGGTTCCTTCTGCATCGTGCTGAAAACACGGGATCGGAAGGAACCACTAATGATATATGTATGCGTTGGTGTGGTTACATTACATGTTTATTTTTGGTAGTCACTGGTATTGTTTATTTATCCTGTGAAGAATGAATTATGCATGGCTGTTGGTCTTACTGCATGGAAACGGACGTCAAAACCGCACTCTAGTCCCGCTGTTGTTAGTAGTTCGTGTCGATGACTCTGTAGGATCGCACGATACAAGTATTACGTACGTACGTCAGGTACGTTGATAACAGACATACTACTGAAGCCATGCAGTATCAATGTGCCCCGTCTCGATAATTTATGTTCAAAACCATCTAAAGCGATGTGCACTTTTGGCAACCACGTTGTTCCCTGTCACGTACTACAGATAACTGATTAATGTAGGTAACTAATTATCGCTTATTAATTACCATCTCTGTATTTCAGAGGAATGCTAGTTACGAATCAGTAGCAGCTAGTTATGAAATAGTTGGCATATATGCAAAGTTTAAAGCAATTATCATGATGTTTAAAGACAGTTATATGTGAAGCATGCTTTGGGTGATATTCCGCTTGTTTTTGTATAATGCACTGCCTACAATAAAGCATAGTTCATGTCGGTTATATTGTACTCAAAGAACTCATAAGCATTCTGCGCGCCGCCCAGTGCTGACGCTGTGGAGACCAACCTTCCTACCCTGTCTCCCCTCTGTACGAGGAGGCTCCGTCAATACCAGGCGCGCTCTCGCCTTTGTCTGCGCCAGCTACCTGTGGGGCGTCTATCGGATGAGTCATGACGATACACAAATCGGCCATCAGTGATGAGTCATCATCGGTTCGCCGAAACTTTCTAAGAAACGTGTGGCATGTTGTCAGGTTTTGGCAGGGAGGAAGGTAATGCGTCTACGCACTTTGTCCCATACTCCCTGCAGTTGGTCATGCGATAACTATATGCAAGCCCAGTGGCAAGGTGATTCGGCGCTGCTTGGGAAGCAGAATACTTGTGCTGTTTACGTACAAACACTGACGATTACAAAATTAATTATAGGCTATTATGATGTTCATGTTTTATTGTACTCGTATGTTCGGAATGCACGTAAATCTTTCGCAAGAAAGTTTTGATTTAGCCAGCCGGAGTCTTTCTCGCTCATGTAAATTTAACCGTAAACCGTCCACGCAATTGTTACCGAAGCTTGAATTTAAATGCTTCAAACCAGACTGACACAACCCAACCCAGTTTATCAACCTGGGTCGAGCGACGCGCCGTGGCCGACCTCGCCAGGCCGAGCGGCGACCCTCCGTGATGATTGGGCCGACAACTTGGGCGAACTGGCTCCGTCCGAGTCACGCGCTGGCTGCCGCCGACGGGCGTACGTCGATGCCGACGCTGTCGGCCGCGAGTCGGCACTGGGCGGCGGGCAGGCGCGGCTGCCGGTCAGTGGCAGTGCCGGTGCGACGATCGGCGGCACGCAGTGTGGTCGGTGTAGCCCGCACTGGTGCCAGGCTAACTGTGGATTGCGTTCAGGCAGTGTGGTGCAGTGACTCGTCGACAACACAGCACGTGGGGTGAATCATTTAGGGTGTCACAAATAGAAACTTCCAGTGTTTGTTCGATAGATACCATTTAATTTCAACAGAAGGGTGACGGGGAAGTGTTGAAGTTGTTAGCGCTTCTCTGTTTGTCGGAGCCTGTGGCTGAACCATTTCGTGCTACCAACCCAAGTCAGCGCAGCGTATCCCCACCTGTGTAGTGCTCAGTGAACATCCGACTCGGGCGCCGGACCTGACGGGCGCCGCCAGGAGATGCCGGTCCGATGGCCGGCTCTGCCGAAAATCGTGTGACCGTCTCCTCCGGATCACTGATCTCCGGAGATCAGCCGCTCACTCGCGAAATGTCCTCTGACTCGGTGGACAAAAGCTCGCGCACTGTGGATGGCTCGCCGAGCGGACGCGCCGCTCCGCCGCGGCTGGAGAACGGACTCGGGTCAGGAGATGGTCCCACTCCGAGCGTGGACGGGAAGACACCAGAGACTGGAGAGCCCATGCAAAAAGAACCGACACAGGAGGCTCAGACAGCCGAGACACTGAGAGAAATGGAGCGAGCGCCTACACAGGCTGGGAGCTCACTCCGCGGATCAGAGAGAGAACCAGAAATAAAGGTCAACATTCGAGGAGAAAACGGTGCTATAACGGGGGATATTGAAATAATTCCAGTGCCTCATGCCAGCAAAAGAGTGACAGAAACACTACTTCCTCTGGAAGTAGCAAAGCACGGCTCCCCGACGGAGACGAAATTCAGCCCTCCTGGAGCGAACAGTCACCGGCCAGTGGCCAGTCACCGGACAAAACTCGCAACCAGTCCCAGAGCAGTGACAGAGGAGTCTCGCAGGAGGGAGTCGGCCAGCAGACACCCTGCCACTGCTCCCGGTCGTCGCTCGAGGCCACCCAGTGACACGGCGCCGGTGCCGCCGGCTCGGCGGCGGGACCTCTCAGCGGCGGTCACCCACGGCGCCGAGCCCCGCGCCGAGCTGGCCACCTCTGAGACGCTGCGCCGCCGCCTGGAGGCCCTGGACGAGGAGCTGCGACACGGCTTCGTAGTGCCGGCCGTCGTGCCGCCACTGCTGCTCGGCTCGGCGGCCGCCACACCCGCGTCATCGCGGGCCACCACGCCGCGACAGGGTGGCCGCTCGACGTCAGGAAGAGCCGCCCGGAGGGTGCACTTTGCGAGTGAGGAGCCCCGTCAGGCCGGGACGACACGGCGCCGGCGGAAGGCGCTTGACGAAGTGGAAGGACAGGTACCCAGCAGTGGAGGTGGGCGGCCGGACGGTCGGGCGGATCCCGAGCTGGGTCGGGAGCAGAGACTGGGTCACAGAGTCGGCTCTGGCTCCGTCCGGCCGGACCCCGAGCTCGGTCAGGAACTGAGACTGGGGCCGCGGACGGGCTCTGGTGTCGGTCGGGAGCTCCTGTCGGCGGCCGAGCAGAGGCTGGCTGTGACGGCCGCCCCGCCGCGCCGAGCCGTGAGCCGCGCCGTGAGCCGGGCCGTGCAGACTCTCGGCCGGGAGCCGCGCTTCACCTGGTTCCCGTCCGTGCGCGGACTGCGGGGCGGCCGCGTCTCCCGGCTGCGGCGCGCCGTGCTGCGCTCCTGGCTGTGTCAGCTGGCGGCGCTGGCCTGCTGGCTGCTGGCGGCCGCCGCTCTGCTACTGCTGGCCGAGGCGCCGGCCCAGCGGCGGGCGCGCCGCCAGCTGGGCGTCCGGCGCGCCGAGCTAGTCGTGGAGCTGGCCACCGAGCTGCGCCAGGTGGTGCCGCACCAGGCCGTCTGGAGACACAAGATCGCCCACTACATGGGCCGCCTGGAGCAGGCCGTGCTGGCGGCGTCAGAGGCCGGCTTGCCGGACGGCGGCGGCGACTGGACCTACGGCGCGGCGCTCTACACCGTCACAGCGGCGTCCGTCTCACTGGGTCAGTACAGGGCCGATATTATTGGTCCGTCCGTACAGAATACACCTGTCCCGTCAGTAAAGAACAAACAGGTCCGTCGGGTGCCCCTAAAGCACACCCGTTCACCAGTGCTGAATACACCAGTAGGCAGTAGAGCATGTCCCCTCGAAATATTCATCCGTCCAGAGGTCTTCAACCCGCCTAGAAGCTGGTTTGGTCTTTACCATTGCATCACAGTTCCATCATATTCACAGGCAGCTTTACTAGCCTAATAATCGAGGCGGCACATGCATATGGATAGCAAAGGGATGATCGTAAATTATCCACCCAGCTCAGCACACAGCTTATGGCACGATTCATGTCGGTTCTGGTTAGTGTTTGGATAGCTCACTAGAAACACCAGTACTCAGTGCTTGTATTTGCTTTGGGCATTAGGGGCGCAGTATAAGCAGAAGCGCGGTCACGGTGCACCTGCTTCGCTGGCTCGGCACTTGCAATAATCACTTGCAAATAATCGGTGGGGAATGCGGATGGACATTACTCGTGCCAGCCCGTGAACATTTCAGATCCAACAACGCTCAGTGCGCAGTCTGCACCTGCATTCGTTCGTATGTGTGTAGGCGTAAGGTGGGTACCTACTGGGTAGGGTAGGTAGCCAGGCATCTATATATGTATGTACGAGTATTATGGATGGTTGTAAGGGAGCCAGATGGGCGGTTCGTATGTTACCTATCGCCCGGCACTGAACCGGGCGGGACCCGCTCAACGTGACCGGCTGTCAGTCCGCTCAACATACGGGGTCAGGTCATCGTGACCTGCCCGTCAGCCCGCTCGGCTCATCAGTCCGGTCTGGTCCATCGGTTCGGCCCGGCCCATCGCGTCGGTCCGCTCATCGTGACCCGTTCGTCGGTCCGCTCATTGGTCCGGTCCTGCCCGTCCACGCCGCACACAGATCAATATCGGCTGCGAGCTGGCCTCAAACCGAGCTGCCCACCGTCACCCAAACACGCATCGGTCAACACCAACAGCTACTGCGTCCGTGACCATGTAACCCTGTTTGGCCCCTACCGTCTATCGCACTGACATCCAAAGATAGTGTTAGCAGTAGGTGCTCTGATGTTTGGCGTCGTGCTGCGCTGCGATGGCCCACCGCGGGGCTGCGGCGGCTGCTCAGTGCAATACGGCGCTGGGGACTGCGGTCGGCCCATTGCACGGTGGCCTGCTGGACTGGGGCCATGGTCGGTCCACTGCGGTCCCTCCCCGTCCCTGCCAACAGGTCCCCGGGGCACGGCCATTAGCGGCGGCAGCGCGGTGCCGGCCGGGACACGTGCCGACCGCGGCTGCCGGGTCGTATCAGCCACGACAGCCGGCGCCGGCCCTCTAACTACCCGGCGTACACGTGTGCGGCACGTGTCTCGTGCCAGCGCCGGGAGCGCCACGTTGGCACCGGAACGTCTCCCCTGGGTACTGCCCCTCCCTCGCTTCCCATCCCTATGCGCCTTTAGGCCGGCTGGAAAATGTCATTTCCATGCTAACGTGTCCATGACTTGTGCTTATCGCTGGGTCGGTGCGGGCAGGCGACTTTCTCAACGTTGGCCAAATGAACAATGGAAATGGATTTATAATTGCCGTTTGTCCGAAAGGGAAGGCATCATACGTCCTTCCCCCGCGGACGATTTTGATCAAGCTCACGATTGAGGCTAAGCAAACTTCAGCGAAGGCGATGGGGCGAGTTGGCTTCGACCGATCGAGAAGGTCGATATTATGGAATGCAGTTAGGCTACACCACCAACAGTCTGCAATCATCACAGTGGATGCAGTCGGTCTATATGATATATCTGATATACGGCCGCAAGGGCCAGGTTGTGCCTCAGATGCCTCACGGTTCCCATCGGGCCCGGACGACTCGAGCGGTTAGGTTAGGCTGTCCCGCAACACACCCGAGCAGTGCGGCACAGTGTGCCTGCAGTCATCTCTACCATCGTCGCCTCACAGCCTAACACAGCGACAAGCCGGAGGCCGTCGCATGCATGGTATATAGGTCGCATGCACCTATGAGATGAGGACTCATTGAGCTAGCAGCTCAGCAGTATCTATCTGCCATAGGCTCTCAAGTGGCTGCTATGCCTATGCACTATGCAGGTATCATTTGCGCGGGCTCCCGCTCTGTTTTCCTCTAGACGC